ACCAACGTCTTCGTCTGCCGCTCAGTCACCGCCAGCCACTGCACGAACTCCTGCAGCACGTCCGACTTCTTGGCGACCGGCCTCGCCCACACGAAGTGGGTCTTGCGGTCCTTCAGCAGCAAGAAGTACAGGCTGCCATCCTTGGCAGCCACGTGGAACGGCCCGCATAGGTTGATGTGCACGACATCCAGCACGTCTTTGGCGTCGGTGCCGTGGTCGGGGAAGGTGTGCCGCGCCAGCTTCCCGCCGACGCACAAGACACGTGGAGAGTCGGCGCCGGACGCCGACTTGAGGTCCAGCCCAATGGCGACATCGTGCTTCGCCGAGCTCCGGATGGTGTCCATGCCGACATGTGCGAGCCTCGCATGCATCCTGTCCGGCGTCGACTTCGTCGCCGAAACTAATGCCCGTAGGGCCACCACCTCCGTCGAGGGCGTCGTCGGCATCGTCGAGCAGGGACGCAGGTCGGTGCAGAGGACCCGGCCGATGTAGGACGCCCAACCGAGGACGTCCCCTGCCGCCGTGACGAGCAGCATCTCGTTGCCATCCTCCTTCGGCTTCACGCCTTTCTCCTTGAGCTGGCCAGCCAACAGCAGGTTTGCATGCACGCCCGGAACGTAGAGCACGTTGAGAATCGGCACCTGCTTCCCGGCCTCCCCTCGCAAGGCGACCGTGCCCCGGCCCTGGAAGTCATGCAGTGCCTTGTTCAAGTCGCGCACGTGCTTGACGTCGCCGCACGGCTGCAGGTCGACGAAGACCTCCTTCGTCCCCATCAGGTGATGCAAGCAGCCGCTGTCGAGTAGGACCACCTCTGGTTTCGCCTGCACCGTTGCCGCCATCGCCTGGAAGTTCTTGCCAGCCTCCGGCGCCAGCGAGACGGTCGGCTCCACGACGCCAACTAGGGAGCACGACGCCTCCTTGTCGTCTCACCCCTTGCCGCTAGCAGCGGATTCGGCGTCCTTCGCCAAGGTCGACAACTTGGTCGACTGCTTCTCCTTGCGCTGTGGGTTTCCTCCTCGACGCGGACGACGACTGCCCGACCTCCCGCGGCCTCCCTCGGCGTCGTCGTTGTTGGAGTCACTGCGGTCGGGGCACTCGAAGGAGAGGTGGTCGGGGCTGTGACAGATCCAGCACTCTAGACGCCGACTTCCTCCTCCTCGACCGTCTTCCTGAGCCAACTTCTTCTTGTCGGCATCCTTGGCCGGTTTCCAGCAATTGCTACCACCGCCGCCAGACTGCCCGCGCTGCCCCGGTTGGCCTCCTGCTTCGCCGGGGCGACGTAGTTCGGCTGCGGCAGGAGCTCCAAGGACTGCTTGGCCTCCTGCATCGCCTCATCCCGCAGGATGTACGAGGTTAGGGAGTCCTCGTTGAGCGTCGCCCGCGTGCTCGGCACCACTAACAGTCGCTTCATTAGGTTGTAGCTGCTCGGCAGCCCCTTCAGGACATGGGTGACATACGACGCCGTAGAGTACTGCACGCCGGACATCCTCATTGTGGCGAGAAAGTCGCCGCGCCCGGTTGCAGTAGTCTGTCGCTATCTCCTGGTCGCCCATCCGCAGATGCGTCATCTGCTCCTTGAGCTGGCCGATGTACAGGTCGTTGGTGACTTGGTACGTCGACTCGATGAAGTGCCACGCCTGGTGGCCAGTGTCCAAGTAGTCCCTGCACGGCTTCAAGGCGATCTGCACGCCCGGCGAGCAGCACCGCGAGATGACCGTGAAGGTCAGCAACTGCACAAGGCAAAACTCTGCACGCAGTTCGGGGTAGTGCTCCGACGGCGTCGCCATGGTGCCGCGGGCAAAGCCAATCATCCTGGCCATCTCCAGCTGGGGCTCGATAGCTTCCTCCCATGTGAGAATGTTGGGTCGACCGACCAGCAGGGGGGTGACCGAGATCCTGCCCGGCGGAAACTTGAAGTAGCCGTAGCTCGGTGCTATCCCGCCTGCTGTCACGTGGGTCGCGGACATCGGCGACAATCCACTTCGCCGACCTCCGACGTCACCTTGCGAGGAGCCTGCAGCCGCCGACGACCACATCCCTCGCGCCTGAACGTCGCTGACTTCATTGGCGTGTATCACACCTCGCTGCCTCGACGTGCCTCCCGCACTGCTGCCGACTTGGTCACCACCAGCGTTGATGCCCACGTCAACGCCGCCTTCGTCGTTCACCGATCGAGGAGAGGCTGATCGAGCAGGGTGCTATTCCGCCCACATCGATCGAATGCCTGCCTCGATGACCGCCAATGGTAGGTTTGGCCTGTACTCATTGGCCTCATGGTGTCTCCTCGCATCCTCCAGCCGTGCCTCCAGGGTGTCCACCACTCCTGCGTCACCTACGACGCCTACCATAGTGACTACCGCACAGCTGCCGGCCTACAAACGCGAGTTAGGTAAGTGACAATTACGTTGACTTGACTGAAAAGGAAAGTCGTGTGCCTTCCACGCTCACTGCACCATGCGGAGATAACTCAATCAACGGGAGCTATGCTACGGGCTAGGCACGGGTGCTCATGTGATCTCTGTGTTCGTTCTTTCCTTAGTCATTTCCAAGTGCTCACACTACTTGCTAGTTCACGGGGAGAATTGCCAAGAGTTTTATGAGGAAAACATGACAACAATGATAGCAACAACATTGGCATGCAAGACTACATCAGACCTAGCAAAGCTGCTGGTCGACTTCCAGCACAGCACGGTCGACCGCATGCTAGCACGACTTGGTCAACCGCGCTCCAGCAGAGCAAAGTCGCAGCTTTCCAACGTTGCAAGTCCACGGTGTGCCAACGCTGCAGCAAGTCGGCTGCACAACGTTGCACCCGCAGGAAAACGGTGCACCTACTTCCCAAATGCGTGCAGCTGGTTGGTGCGCCGCTCCTCGTCACGGGCACAGCGCAGACGCCCGGCAGAGTCTACGCCAGCGTCTGCGCCCACCAGCCACGTCGACCTCGGGATACCACCCCCGAGGTCGGCCTCGCTGAAACAACCCCGGCAACCTTCGCACACGTCACCCGGGTATCCCAGTCGACCGAGCAACCCCGCCTGGTCGACCAGCTCAGCCCGTCGCCAACCACCCATGACTGGCGTTCCCTATGTCGGCTCCAGCTGGTCGACGCCCGGCGTCCTCCCATGTCGACCCACTTGCCCGGCGCCATCTTCCTCAGTGCCCTGTTACTCGGCGCCCAGCTCCCCTGTCCAGGTCGACGTCGGCGCCCCCTTCGTCGACCACCACAACTTGGCGCCCAGAAGTTGGCGCCCTTGCAGTGGCCCCCGTGCAGGTCGACCATCCTCGTCGACCAGCTCGCCCACTGCTGCAGGTCGGCTGCACCCTTCACACCCGATCACGAGGTCGGCTCCGCCCAAGCGAGGACGGGGCCTACCACAACTCCCGTTGACAAGACGGACAGACTGAGCACGTGAACCAGACCTTGGAGAAAAAATTTCGCAGCATCACGATGCACGACGCACCCGCATGGGACAAGAAGCTGAGCATGGAAGAGTTCGCCTACAACAACACGCACCACTCCGCCACAGGCATGTCATTGTTCTTCGCACTGTATGGTTATCACCCCAATGTCCCCACTCGTGTCGATCTCACACCCACTGTCCCTCGTGCGGACAATTTCCACCATCTCACCTTCATTCACGACCATGTGAGGAAGCACCTTGAGCTCGCAAATGCACGCATGGCACACACCACCAACCGCAGTCGTCGTGAGGTGTCGTTTGCAGTCGGCGACCGTGTCCTTTTGGATAGCCGCATCCTCCGACTGCCACAGGACAGCAAGCTTCGCCCTCGTTTCATTGGTCCATTTGACATTGAGCGCGCACTTGGTCCAGTCGCATACCGCCTCCGCCTTCCCGCTCATTTCCGCGTGCACTCGTCATTCCACGTGTCTCTCCTTCGTCCATACACCGATCCCAATGCCACCTTCTCGGGCCGTGATCGCACTCCACTGCCGGTAGCTGTTGACACCGACGAGCCCGACTACCAGATCCAGCGCATCCTTAGGCACCGTCGCCGTCTCCAGGGGGGTGTCTCTTTCACTGACTTCTTGGTTCGTTGGCGTGGTTACGATGCAGCCGACGACAGCTGGGTTCCTTCGTCCTCGCTGTCTTCTGACAACGCTTGCCTGAAAGCGTACCTTTAGTCTGCAGGCACCGTGGACGTCGCCTCCTTGGGAGGGGGGTAGTGTTACGGTTTACTGCTCAATCCCTTTGGGTAGTTCACCCGAAACAGTCCCCCAACCTAATCCCAACCTTATCTCCATCCAATCCCTTTGGGATTTCTTTGATTTCCTAGTGCCACGTGGCACTCTAGCTTTGTTGCCTTCTACTTTCTAGTCCCACGAACTACTTTCCGACATTCGCTCTTGCATGCTATATCAACCTTGTTTGTACTTGTCATTATCAACCAATTCTCATTAATCCATCACTCAGTAACTTCTTCGCCTATTTCGCTAATAGTTCTTTCGCTAAAGTCTTCTGCGCGTTTCATCCTCGACTTAGTCAACCCCGCTATTCTTTAGCGGATTTAGGCCAAGGGGCCTAACACAACCTTACAGCACAACTGATGTAGAGAAGTTTAGTAGAAATAATGAAATAAATATAGTAATCATTCAAAATACCACAATAAAGCCTTTTACCCACATAAGCCCCCCATAGGTGCATTTATTCGGCGGTCTGTATATACCGGTACTAAGGATTATGGTATACTTTTTCACCCAGCTCTGACTGGGATGCAATTTTTTTTGGGAGAGCACTGATCAATCAGAGTGGCCTGAATCCAATCTGAGGGACATGCAGTGGCTGTGGCAGTACTTTCAGCTTTTGGGCAAGTGCAGCAGTGGGGTGCAGCAGTGGGGTGCAGCAGTCACAGCTCCTAGTCACTTGGCCCAGCTGTCAGGGAAAACCGCTTGGCCGCACTGGCACACTCCCCTCGCCTGCACACATTCATTCAAGCACCCGCAACCTCGTCGCTGCTGCTCTGGCAGCCTCGCCGCGCATTCACTCCATCGGCAAATCGCCGTGCCGTGCCCCCTTCCCGCCCTCCAGCCCCCCCTGCTGCACGCCCACCGCGCCTGGTGCAGCCGCCCCCAGCAGCGCGTGCAGGGCGGAGGTGGGCGGCGGGCGGTAGGGCGTGGGGGGCAGGGGGGTAGGGTCGAAGACTGGCAGGAAGTGGATGGCGTGGGCAGAGGTGTTGGCCTGGGGAGGGTGGAGGCGAGGAGGGGCAGCAGGAGCAACGGGAGGTGGGAGGGGCGGAATGGGGGGATGGAGATGGATGGGCTAGCAGGTGAGAGAACAGACAATGCATGTGATGCCTGATCATGTATAGCAGCATGTGGGGCAGCCTGAGCATGTGGGGCGGCACTCACCTCGGCATGCAGCATGTCGAGCAGCACGGGTGGGATGGGGTCGGGGTGGGACGGCTGCTCCACACACATGCTCACCACACGCTGCAGCAGCGGCGCTGGGATGGTGGCGTACACCTGCATGGGGGGGCATGGTGGCGCACATGCCATGGGTTGAGCAAAACAGGTGACAAACTGACGTGCACATGCCATGGGTTGAGCAAAACAGGTGACAAACTGACGTGCACATGCCATGGGTTGAGCAAAACAGGTGACAAACTGACGTGCACATGCCATGGGTTGAGCAAAACAGGTGACAAACTGACGTGCACATGCCATGGGTTGAGCAAAACAGGTGACAAACTGACGTGCACATGCCATGGGTTGAGCAAAACAGGTGACAAACTGACGTGCACATGCCATGGGTTGAGCAAAACAGGTGACAAACTGACGTGCACATGCCATGGGTTGAGCAAAACAGGTGACAAACTGACGTGCACATGCCATGGGTTGAGCAAAACAGGTGACAAACTGACGTGCACATGCCGTGGCTGTACAGGCACGAGGCACAGCGTGCACGAGAGCGATGCAGTAACACTGTCATCCACTCTCACTGCTCACCCCTCTCCACCCCCCATTCCTCTCATCCCTCGCGCCCCTCACGTCACGTCCCTCTCTTCGCTCACACTGCTCTCCCCACCAATGTCGTCCCCCCTGCCCCCGCACCTGGCGGCGCACAGGGCGGTCGCAGAGAGCCTTCTTGGGCAGCAGCAGCACGTGGGCCAGCGCGCGCAGCAGCGGGAAGCACTCCGCCCGCCCACCGATCAGCTGCTGCACCAAACCTCTCCCCTCCTCCCCCTCCCCCTCGCGCCCTCCCAGCAGCAGCAGCGCCGCGGGGTCATACCCTCTCTGACCCGTGCCCCCTTCACACCCAGCAATGCTGCGCGCCACTGCATCTCCCATGGCGTCACCGCCTGTCACCGCTCTCCACCCCTCTCCCTGCCCCACCAGTCCATTTCCGCATCCCGGCTTTTCTGCCCCGCCCTGCCCCTCTGCGCCCTCTGGCCAATCAAAGAGCTCCAGCTGGCCCGCCCAGAAGCGAGCGGAGGAGAGCAAGGAGAGCGGGACGGTGGGCGGGGGAAGGATGGGCGATGGGGGGTAAGCGTGCGCAGCGGTGGCGGCATGCTGCGTGGCAGCAGCAGCGGCGGCGGCGGCGTGGCAGTGTGAGGAGACGTGTGCGTCCATGTCTGCAAGGAACTCACTCCACTCCGACACCTGGAGCCGTGCCGTGGGGTGCCGTGGTGGTGGTGGGGGGGTAACAGAGGGCACAGAGGCATGGCGGAAAGGCGCGAACACATTGAGGGTACATGAGGATACTGGGGCAGTGGCAGCCAGGGATGGGTCTGGATGGCAGCCAGGGATGGGTCTGGATGGCAGCCAGGGATGGGTCTGGATGGCAGCCAGGGATGGGTCTGGATGGCAGTGAGGGATGGGTCTGGATGGCAGTGAGGGATGGGTCTGGATGGCAGTGAGGGATGGGTCTGGATGGCAGTGAGGGATGGGTCTGGATGGCAGTGAGGGATGGGTCTGGATGGCAGTGAGGGATGGGTCTGGATGGCAGTGAGGGATGGGTCTGGATGGCAGTGAGCGATGGGTCTGGATGGCAGTGAGGGATGGGTCTGGATGGCAGTGAGGGATGGGTCTGGATGGCAGTGAGGGATGGGTCTGGATGGCAGTGAGGGATGGGTCTGGATGGCAGAGGTCATGCGAGGCTGGCATGTGTGCAGGCAATCGCAATCCCCTTGTGTTTCAGTCATCCCCCTTATAGATTATTTCAGCAATCCCCCTTACAACGTGTTTCAGCAATCCCCCTTACAGTGTGTTTCAGTAGCCCCCCTTGGCCGGCCCAGAAGCGGCCATTGGCGGGGAACGGCAGGGCGGCAGGTTCGGTGAGAGGATCGGCAGCAGGGTCGGTGGAGAGCACGTCGTTACCGGAGCGCAGCAACGCGTTGAACAGAGCCGCGTCTAGCCGCTGCTGGCACTGCTGCAGCACCTGAGGGGCGGTGGTGGGGGGAGGAGTGGGGGAGGGGGAGGAAGAGGGGGAGGGGAAGGGGGAGTGGATGAAACGGGGGGTTGCATGAGGTGGAGCAGGGAAAGGGATGGGAAGAGGGGGACCAAGGCGGTAGGCTTTGAAAGCAGACGTGCCAAAGCAGAGTGGCATGGCGTCAGAGAGGAATTGAGGGGATGGATGAAACAGGATGATGGGTGACGGGGTATGGAAAGGAGTGGAAATGCGGCAAGGGCGAATTGGGGTGAGGGTAAGAAAATGAAAAGGGGTAGACGAGTAGAGGGCAAGGACAAAACAAGCGCTGTGAGGTGGAAGGCAAGTCGTGGTGGTGGTGCACTCAAAATTGCCATAACACCAAAAGAAGGGGGTATGGAGGTGCTTGCTTTAGTAGCGGGTAGAGGCAGCACTGACCTGCTTGAAAAGCGGGTAGAGGCAGCCGCAGTGGTGCCCCATGGCCCTGTGAGGGCACAGCATGGCAGCCGCCTCGTGCATCACCGCCACCCACCGCTCTGTACCACTCAGCCCCGCCCACCAGGGCGCCTGCACTTCCTCCGCTGCACATATGGGGAGATGGAGAAAGGGGAAGATGGGGACACAGGGAGAGGGGAAGAGGGGGAAAGGGAGAGGGGGGAGAAGAAGCGGGCCTCACGGGCTATTGGGTGACGTGCAGTGCTAGGGGCTGATTGGGGTGAGCGCTATCAGGATGGGGGTGAGCGGGCGAAATGAGTCTAGAGCGAAGCAAAGGAGCTAACAAAGTAACAAACATGAGTTGATGTGAAAGAGACGTGCACAGAGCGAGGCATGCATGGAGACTTGAGAAGCGCAGTTAGATTTGCGCGTGGAATCAATGGAATGGACTCCAAGCAAATAGCTGCCTACAGTAGCCCTGGCCCAAAGAGATTCGGAGGTACGTCTGGGATGATCAGCAGAGACAAGGGCACCAACTAGCCAGCAGCAGTGAGACGTTTAGAAGGAAATAATGAGAGGGGCAAAAAGAGAGGACTCTCAGATTGAAGGGAGAATATGAGTCACCTCTGAGTGGGGGTGGCGGGGGCGTGGGGGCGGAGAAGGGCCAGAGGTACGACTGCTGGCAGGCAGAGGTGGCGCACAGCAGGGCGGAGGACCAGGCGGGGGTGAAGGGAGGGGTGTGTGATGGCGGGTGGAAGGGAGGCGGCAGCACAGGGGGGCGCTGCTGCATGGCTGGCAGGAAGACACGTGTCCACACCAGCTGCAGACACCTGTTGTGCTGCCATTGCTCCAGCTGCAGCAGCTGCGACTCAAGGTGCGCCAAGCTGCCCCACGGGTCCTCAGGCCGCTCTGGGTGCTCCGGGTGCTCTCCCCGGTCGTCATGACCTGTGCCAGGCCAGCATGCACCACCACCATTCGCAGCAGCAGCACCACTCCCAACACCACCACCAGCCGCCCCTCCTTCACCTGTGGCCGCCTCACCCTTCTTCCCCTCCCCTTTCCTCCTCTGCTCCTCCGCCACCAGGGGTGCCAGGGCGGAGCGCAGCATGGCCGTGTTGGACCACCAGAAGAGCAGCCGAGATGCGTTGTCGCTCGCCGCCCGGGCTGCCAGGAGCAGAGCGCGCATCACCTCCCTCGCCACGCCTGCCACCTGCTCCCCTTTCAACCCACGCGCCTTGCCCACCACTCCTCGCTGCTCCCTTCGCTGTCCCTCTTCCACCACCATCCCTTCCGTGCTTGCACTCCACCCTTGCCATGCATTCCCCTTTCCCTCCTCCCCTCCCCTGTGCCCGCCCTCCTCTCGCCCCTCGGCCATTTCCCCCACTTCGCCCCACAAATCCTCCTTCTCCACCCCCGCTCCCTCCTCCGCCCCCTCACCCGTACCGCCCCGCCATGCCACGGCCACCACGCGTGCCAGGCGCATGGCGGGGGTGTGCAGGCGCTGCACGGGCGACCCATGCCGGCCCGCCACACCATGCACTGCCCGCGCCACGCCACTCCCACTCCGCACCTCCCACGGCATCTTCCCGAACCTCCTCTCCGCGGCCTGCGCCCGCACCTCAGCCTCGGCAGCCCGAGCCAGAGCGCCAGCCACGGAGGCGCGGTCGTGAGCGAGGCGCTGCTTGGTGGCGGCGAGGAGGTGGGCGGAGGAGGCGAGGTGGCAGCGCAGCGAGTGCGTGTGCGCTGCCACGTGCCCTGTGGCCGTGGCGGCGGCGCTGGCCTGTGCTCGCAGGGCGGCCGTGGCGGCGTCCTGCGCTGCAATGTGGTGCTGGCAGGCGCGGTGGCGCGCCTCAAAGGGCGCCAGGCGCTGCTTGTCCGCCTCCACCTGTGGTGGGCGCACGTGGGGGGCTTCACTCATACTGTTGGCCTCCACCAATCAGTTGTATCTTAACAAAGGTTGGGACTCAATTCCAGACCAGGGGAAACTGCAGTTGTAAACGCAAAGTAAATCTGGGGGCTTGCTCTCTGAAGCTCGTCTATCTTTTCTCACACAACTATGACTCTTCTCGTCTATCTTTTCTCACACAACTATGACTCTTCTCGTCTATCTTTTCTCACACAACTATGACTCTTCTCGTCTATCTTTTCTCACACAACTATGACTCTTCTCGTCGCTGACAGCCGCAAGCAGCTCTCACCATCTTTATTAAGCAGCTCTGACTCACTGCCATCCTCACCTTTCGCTTCTCCTCCTGCAGCCGCTGCTGCTCCTCCTGCGCCCACTGCTTGAAGCGTGCCACCTCACCCTGCACGCGTTGCACCTCGCCCCTCTCCTGCTCCACCAGCTGCCGCTCCTTCCTCACCCGCCTCCACTCCATTCGCATTTGTGCCGCCTCCTCGCCCTCCCCATCGCCATCGCTCTCTGAGTCCTCCCTACCTTCCCGATCTTCTCCTCCGGCCTCCTCCGCACCACCACCTTTTTCTCTCTCCCCGTCCCCTCCACTCGCATACTCGCCACTGCCCCCCTCTCCCCCCCCCCCCTTCCCTCTCCACCACCTCCCGCGCCACAGCCAGCACGCTGAACCTCCTCCTCCGCCGCCCACCACCGCCACCACGCGCCCCTCCCGCCACTACCCTTGGCGTGGCGGCGGCGCCCAGCAGTGCGTCATCGACGCCCTCCACCTCGTCAAACCGCCCCGAGCTGTACGGCCCCGGCACGCGCCGCAGCGCTGCCAGCACCTCACGCGCGGTCAGGGCGGAGTGGCTGCCCGCGCCCCCTGCTGCTGCTGACGCCTCCCCTGCATGCATGCTGCCTGGCAGCAACCCCCGGTGCCCCACGGACGTGAACGCCCGCATGCCCCTCCCTCCTCTCTCCCCCTCTGCAGTGCGCGGCCTCCCACCACTCTCAGCAGCACCGGAGGGCGCGTGCCAGTCGGGCGGCAGCATGAAGGGGCGGCGCGCACACGCAAAGCCCAGGGCGCGCGCAGAGGGCGGGGGGGCGGGCGAGTGCGGCGCTGAGAGGGTGCCGGGGGAGGGCGGAGAGACGAGGGGGAAGGGCGCTGTGGGGGGGCGCGGTGTGTGTGGGTCTGAGAGCGAGCGGTGCAGGAGAGGAGGCGAGGGGGGGTGCCGGTGTGTGGCAGTGAGGGCAGAGGTGGGATGTGCGGCAGAGGAGTGAGGTGGGAGAGAGCCTGAGTGACCAGCTGTTGCAGGTGGTGCATTCACCACAGCTGATGGCACTTGGCCCTCCTCACTGCCTGCACCTCCCTTCCTGGCCACATCGTGACACTCCCCCACCCCCCACGCCCCCATGCCTGCCTGCTCTGCTACAGAAAGTGGCGGTGCCAGCAGCACCCTCAGCTTGCTCCTCAGCTCCGCCACCGCTGCTGCCTGCTGTGCACCACGTGGCGCGTGCTCATTGGACAGGGAGGCAGGGGATCCTGCTGACATGGCAGGCGACCCTGCTGACGTCACAGGAGAGCCAGCTGACATGGCAGGGGAAGCGGAGGCGAGGGCAGTGGGAGCAAGGTGCAGCAGAGGGCGAGGGACGGTGGAGGGGACAGCTGGGTCATGGGCAAGTGCAGTGGGGTGGGACATGTGAGTGCCGGCAGCAAGAGCGGGGGCTGCGCCTGCTGATGGTGGCACTGCTGCCACGTGCTCCCTCCCCTGCATGCCCCCCTCCCCTCCCTGTGCCATGTGCTCTGCGTGAGCGGGCGGGCAGGGCACATCGTCAGACCCACATGTCCTTAAAGCAGCAGCAGCAGCGGTGGCAGGTGTGGTATGAATGCTGCCCGTGGTGGCAGCGCGTGGAATATCCACCATGGCAGGTTGTGCTGCCACCACCGCTCCCGCTGACTGCTGCACCGCTGCTGCCACCGCCCCTCCCCCAGCTGCCTGCCTCATGCCCTTGTTGCTCTGCCGCTTCCTCCCACTCTCATCCGCTGCACCAGCAGAAGGGTCAGCAGGAGGGGCAGGAGAGGAGGTAGAGGGGCGGGGGAGAGTGGCCAGGGCGACAGCAGCAACGGGATGTATCAGGCGGGAGGACGAGGAGAGGGGAGAGCGGTGCAGAGCGGTGGTGGATTCTGGAGAGCCTCCTGTGGGGTTGTGGGCGAGCCTGAGTGTGGCAAACTCCCCCCCCGCCAGCGAGTGCGGGCGGCGGCTGTGTGCTGCCTTGCGCGCCCTCTGAAGAGGGGGGGGGAAGGGGCAGGGAGAGGGAGGGGAGGGGCAGGGAGAGGGAGGGGAGAGGGGGGGGGGAAGTGGTAGGGTGAGACGATGGCGGGGGAGAGGGGGAGAGGGGGAAGCAGGATGCAAGGGGGCCGATGATGGGTGGAAGACGGGTATGGAGCGTGGTGTGGTGTTGGGAGATGCCACCCGTCCTGCATGCCAGCACCACACCACTCATTCCCTTAGCCAACTCTCCATGCCTCCACCTCTCCCTCCCCCACTCTTCTCCCTCATTTCCCTCAACCCTTCCCCCTGTTGTCATGCTTTCCCCCCACCCTTCCCAACTCTTCCACAACAATTTCACTCCGCTCCCCTCTCCGTCCCTCCTTCTCCCTCTCCCAACCATGTGCCACTCACCAGCAGGTCGCGATGGGAGGGTGGGCGCGCGGCAGGAGGGGACGACGCAGTGTGAGGGGGGTGGCAAAGGGGGGAATCCGCAGAGGCAGAGGCAGGAGGGGAAGGAGCAGAGGCGGGGGGGAAAGGGGCGGTGGCACTGCAGGGAGGCAGAGCGACGGCGAGGGGAGAGGTGGTGGAAAAGAGGGTGGAAGGGGGCGAGATGCCTGGGGATGGCCCTGTGCCTGTGCCTGCCATGCACTGAGAAGTAGCAGGGGCAGCAGGGGCAGCAGGGGCAGCAGGGACAGGCGACACAGGCAGGGGCGTGGGAAGGTGCGGCTGCAAGCCCAGGTGCGGCTCCAAGGGCATGGACTGGCACAGCGGGCCGGGTGTGGCAGCGAGCACATGTGGGAGGGCATGAGCCGGTGCCACGTTCCTTGCGCCGTCCAGGTCGCCCCCTCTCCCCGCCGCTCGGTACAGCTCTGCCAGCGATGTGGCCCTCACCTGCCTGTGCACCACTGCCACCTGCCCCACCTGCTGCTCCCACCCATCATCCTCCACTGCCCCGTTAGCCCCGCTGTCTGCTTCTGCTGTCGCTGCTGTGCCTGCTGCTGCCTTGGCTGCGGCCGCCTCTCTCCTCTGCTGTAGCTCTGCCTCAATCTGCCTCATGCCTCGCGCCCTCTCCTTGCCACTCCCACCCGCTCTTTCCTTGCCACTCCCACCCGCCCTCCCCTTGCCACTCCCACGCACAGTCTTCCCAAACTCACCAGCAGCCACCCCCACTGCAGCAGCAGCAACAGCAGCAGGGGTGGCGTGGGATGGTGGCGCTTCAGCCTGAGCTGGGAGGCTGCGGGCTGAGAACGCACTGGTGGCGGACGGTGATGCAAGGGGGGTCGTGGCAAGGGGAGTGGCAGCGGCAGTGGGGGGGAGGGAGGAGGGGGGCGTGGCGAGGGGGGGTTTGGCATGGCGGCTGAAGCGGGTGAGCGCCGTGGCGGGGCGGCCAGGGACGTCCATGCTGCCCGTACCCCCCCGCCGCCTGCTCGCCCTGCTGCCCCTGCTGCCAGTGCCGCTGCCGGCAGTGCTGCTGTCACTGCTGCTGCCAGCGTCACTGGCATGGGCGGTGGCGAGCGGGTGTGTGAGTGCGGCGTGCATGGCGGTGAGCTCCTGCCCGCCGTACGAGTGCCGCCTGCCCGCTGCCTTGCGATGCGCCCTCTGAGGGGGAGAGAGGGATTGAAAGGAAGAAGAGGTGGATGGGAGAGGAGGGTGGATGGGAAAGGATGGTGTACAAGAGAGAAGGGTGAAACGGCAGAAGAGAGTGCAAACGGATTAGCAAGCTGGATTGCAGAGGCGAAGAGATAGTAAAAACATTAGATGGGAAGAGGGGGGGGGCACAAGGGAAGGTGGGCAAGGAATGGGGACATGGCGAGTTAGTAGCATAGCCGGGAGATGAAGGAGGGAGTGAAGAGTGCAAGTGCGATGGCCACTGACCAGAGCTGCCACCGTTGAGGCACGCTGGGTGTTGCTGGCCTCGGCTGATTCAACGCTGACTGCATCAGTGGCGTCAGTGGCGTCAGTGGCGTCAGCAGCGTCAGTGGCGTCAGCGGCGTCAGCGGCGTCAGTGGCGTCAGCGGGAGCATCAGCGGGATCTTCCCGGGCAGCGTGTGGTGCTGGTGACATTTGTGCTGCAGCGTGTGCTGCTGGTGACGTTTGTGCTGCAGCGTGTGCTGCTGGTGCTGGTGGTGGTGGTGGTGGTGGTGCTGGTGGTGGTGGTGGTGGTGCTGGTGGTGGTGGTGCTGGTGGTGGTGGTGGTGGTGGTGGTGGTGGTGGTGCTGGTGGTGGTGGTGGTGCTGGTGGTGGTGGTGCTGGTGGTGGTGGTGGTGGTGCTGGTGGTGGTGGTGGTGGTGGCGGGGCAGTGGGGGCGGCATGGAAGACGGCGAGCTCAGTGCCGCCGTACGACTGCGAGCGGTGAGACGCCTTCCTGCGCTGCTTGGCTCCCGGGGCTGGCTGGAGGGGTGGGAGAAGGGGGAAGACGAGAGGAGAGGAGAGGAGAGAATGCGGGGAGGAGGGGAGTGTGGAGGGGCAGAGAGGAGAGGATAGTGTGGGCGTGTGCAAGGAAGGAGGCGCACACAGAGCAGAGATGACGAGGAGGGGAGAGGAAGTGGAGGTGTAAGGAAGGGAGGGGAAGCAGGGAGGGGTGTTCCGAGGGGAGGGGAAAAAATGGAGTGTGGCGCCGAGGGGAGGGCAGTACATGAGGGGAGGGGGCATGGGTTGCAGCAGCCAGGCGGAAGGCGCGTGTGGCAGACATGGAGGTGGAGGAGGAGGAGGACGAGGGGGGGGGCGCGGATGGTGCTGGTGACGATAGCGGCGAATGTGATGATGATGATGTCATGTATGCTGACGTGGATGCTGATGAGGCAGATGCTGACGTGGATGCAGAGGTCGCTGACGAGAGAGAGGAGGAGCGCGAGGGCACAGGGGAAGCAGAGGCTGATGGAGGATGGGAGGGAGGTCGTGATGAGGTGGATGAAGACGATGCTGACTTGGCAGACACTGCTAATGTTGCAGGGGGGGTTGACGTGGCAGAGAGAGGTCCAGAATCGCCCACTGCCACGTCACTCTCTCCAGCGTCTCTTATCCGCATCTCCTCACCCACTTCTCCCCCCGGCTCCCTCACGCCCCTCACCCCATCGTATGAGCCTGCTCTGCCTCCTCTGCGGCTCTTCCTCTGCTGCTTTCGCCCGCTCACCTCACCACTGCTCTGCACACCTTCTCCCTCATCTGCTAATGCCTCTACCCTCCCCACATCCCCCCCTCCCGCGTCTCTTTCTGCTACAGCCTGCTCGTGCTGCCATGGCCCGTGGGGAGGGCCATGAGTGTGGCCCTCTGCGTGCGCGCCCCCTGCCGCAGGGGGCAGCGCAGGCAGGGCAGGGAAGTCGGCCTCGCCCAGGAACGACCCCGCGCTGCCTCCTGCTGCCACGGCGGGCGAGGCGCACCCTGACGCCAGAGGGGACGAGGCGAGATGCGAGGGGGGGAGGGGGCGGTGCAGAGCGGTGGAGGGCAGCAGAGGTGAGGAGGTGTTGCGGCGATGACCCCTGGGGGCCGCCAGGCTGGGGGGGGGGGAGAGAGGGGGAGGGGGGTGGGGCAGCATGGACGGATGGGGGGCACAAGAGCAGCGAAGGGGGAGTGAGTGGCAGGTGGACGGGGGCCATGGGGCGGAGAGGCATGGATGCTGGCTTGCCCATGCTGGCAGCCTTTGCACCCAATGCTGACCCACACATGCCTCTCACCCCACACATGCCTCTCACCCCACACATGCCTCTCACCCCACACATGCCTCTCACCCCACACATGCCTCTCACCCCACACATGCCTCTCACCCCACACATGCCTCTCACCCCACACATGCCTCTCACCCCACACATGCCTCTCACCCCACACATGCCTCTCACCCCACACATGCCTCTCACCCCACACATGCCTCTCACCCCACACATGCCTCTCACCCCACACATGCCTCTCACCCCACACATGCCTCTCACCCCACACATGCCTCTCACCCCACACATGCCTCTCACCCCACACATGCCTCTCACCCCACTCATGCCTCTCACCCCACACATGCCTCTCACCCCACACATGGCGCTGACTCACAATGGAGCTGCACCAAACTGCAGCTCTGGCAGCACACGAGCCACACCTGCCGTGCGCACACTCTCTGCCTCCCAGCACTCTGCATTCACCCCTCTCCCCGGACCTGACCAACACTGCCTCGCCCCCGCTCTCACCCCTGCCCTCCTCTTCCCTCACCTCACCACTCTATATTCTCCCAACCCTCCACCCATCGCATCCACTCCCCCTCACCCAACCCAACTGCTTCTCCAATGCTATCATCCACCCCCCATCCCACGCCCACCCTCTCGCTTCAACACCCATCACCCTCATTAAACCACTCCCTCCTCTTGATATGCACCCATGCCCTGCGCCCATGCCCTGCGCCCATGCCCTGCGCCCATGCCCTGCACCCCTCCCCCCCTTGGCGTACATGTGGGCCTCCTCAGCGGCGGCCTCGCGGCTGAGCTTCTTCCCAACGCACTCCACGCTCACCACCAGCACCGCCCCCGCCGGCCTCTCAGCAGCCGCCACGTCAGCCAGCATGGCGGGCCCGGGCGCCACTTTGAGGCGGCGCTCCACCACCCCGTCACAGTCCGCCAGCTCAGCCAGGTCCAGCTGCGCCCGCCCCAGAGGCTCGGGCCCAGCCTGGAAGGCAGGCTCGGATGGTGCATCGGGTGGGTGGCTTGGGTGGGCGGCGGCGGCGGGTAGCGCGTGGTGGAGTGTGAAGGTGGCTGCCTTGCGCAGGTAGGGCGCCGTGGGGGCTCCCCTCTCCCTGTACAGCGTCACTGGGATCTGCACTCAGGAGGGGGGGAAGGGGGGGGGGTCAGGGGGAAGGAGGGGGCGGGAGGGGGGGGGGGGGATAGGGGGGGACAATGGGGGAAAGAGGGGGAAAGAGGGGGAAAAGAGGGGGAAAAGAGGGGAAAAAGGGGAAAGAGGGGGGAAAAGGGGGAAAGAGGGGGAAAGAGTGGGGAACGGGAAGAATGGGGGGGAAAGGGGGCGAAAGGTGGGGAATGGTGTGCGGGAATGGGGGGGAGGAAGGTGGGGAAGGAAGAGTGAGGAGAGGGATGAGAAGGGGACGGTTTAGAGAGGGGGAGAAGAATGGGGAGGGGAGTGGGGGAGGGAGAGAGGGAGAATGCGAATGCACTGAGAATTTGAATTTGAATTGGAAGGTGGGGGAGATGGAAGGTGGGGGAGATGGAAGGTGGGGGAGATGGAAGGTGGGGGAGATGGAAGGTGCATGCAGCGTGGGCGAGGGTGGAGAGGGGTTTGTTGCTGAGTGGGGGGCGCATGTGTGACTGCCGAGTGCCACTCGCCCCCACACAGCACCCACACTTGTCCCGCGCCCCCCAGTGTCCCTCCCGCTGCCCCTCCTACCGCCTCAACCACGCCCCGCCATCCCACCACAGCACCACCCCAGAACCCCCATCCTTCCCCTGCTTCCCCCCATGCTCCCTCCCCCCTCCCCCCTCCCCCTTCCCCCAATGGGCGGGTGCACTCACAGCGTACCCGGAAGGTGTGGTGGAGCGGCACAAGGGGGGCGTCAGCGGGGGGCCACACGGGCGCGGAGAGGCCCGCCCGGCTGTCGCCGCGCTGCCAGCGGATGATGAGAGGAGGGGAGGCGCGCAGCCACCCGCGCAGCTGGCGTGCATGGGAGGGCGGTTGGCGGGCGAGGGGCAGGAGGGGGAGAGGGACGGGGAAGGGGGAAGAGGCGGGAAGAGGGGGGTGGAGATCGCTCAGAGTGGGGGGTGCAGGCGTGCGGGGACGAGGGGAGGCACGCAGATAGAAGCAGGGAGCGGAGAAAGCAAGGACGACGTCGTCAGCGGGATGGAGGAAACGGGACGGGGGAAGCGGGATGGGGGAAACGGGACAGGCGGAGCGGGGCGGGGGGGACTTGGCTGACCTCGACGAGATGAATTTTGAACTCGAATCGCACCGCCACCAGATTCGCCTGCTCGATCTTGCCCGACCCCGATGACGTCAACGTATTCCTGCCGGCCGACGCCATCTCAGCTTCCGGCCGTCAACCTAACGGGTCAGCTGCGGGTCCGTCGGCAGGTCAGGCGAAACGCGATGAGGGCGCGGCGCAGTGTGGGCTGAGCGGCCCATCGGGGCCCGTCCAGGGGGTGCGCGAGGTGGGGACGGCGAGGCATGAGGAGGAACGAGAGGCAAGGGGCTTGAGTGGTGCAGGATTGGTTCGACGCGGCGCTGGTGACGTGCGGGCGCTCGAGCATGGGCAACGCACGCGGGTGAAGGAGGGAGTGGCGACCGCCCTTGACGCGCGGCGGACGGACGTTGGTGCACGAAGCGGGCTGGCGATGCCCGCGTGCTCCGCCAGCGATAATCGGCCCGCGCGGTGATGCGCACACGACGACGACGACGACGACGATGACGACGACGGCGGCGGCGGCGGCGGCGGCGGCAAGCAATGGTGGGGCGCTACGAGCAAGTGGCGGTAATGTGGGTGCACAGGTGGTAAGGAGGTGCTAGTCGGTAGCGCATCATTCGGAGTTGCGGGGAACGGGTAGCGAGCAAGTAGGAAGGGAGTTGCAACGTGCAGCCTCAAAAGGTGCCGACAAGGCCCAATAAGCTGATGGGTGTGGCAGGGAGAAGGAAGGAGAGCCCTGTGGCCGCCATAAGCTGGCTGCACGGGCTGTTGGCTATCTGCCGCAACACCAAGCATACGCATTTCAGGTGCAGCTTAGCTTACTATGGGTTTTGAAAAAAAGGTAAAAGCTTTATGGACAAATTCCCAATTTGTTTTCTTAGGTAGTGATTAAAGCATGATTTTTGGTGCTCAGTTATGAATGCAGTACAAATGACACAGAGGCGGTTGTTGGAAACAAGTGATTTATAGCGCTTCTGTCGTATCGAAGCTTCGACACGAAACGGAACTGACTACAGCGAAGAAGCACCAGAGTCAACCGTCGGAGGTTGCGCGAAGGTCAAAGGTCTCCAACCTTTGACCTGACGAAACGTACAGTGCGACAGCAAGAACACATAACTGACTCGTTACAGAGCAGTTACCCGAGTCGGCACTGTATCGAACCGCAACAGCAAAAACAGTTAAGATACGGTAGAACTTTCCATATTCCTTTGTAATCATATAAAAGCCTTGTACTTCTCTACTATTATCAACTTATCTTGTTCTCACAAACTAGCACAAGGTGGTTCACGACAACTCTTCATTAAACGCTTCCGCTATTACAACTCTACTTCAACACCCGATCTAAGTCCTGAAAAAGGTTCTAAGGGCTTTTCTCAGCCCAACATGGTATGAGAGCAAGGCAGGACAAGATCACTCTTTAATTTTTTTTATAATACAATTCATGGCTACAACAAAGTGTTAGAATAAGGAAACGGAATGAATGAACTAGGAAGCAGATTGGTAGAAGTAGGAAACCTAAAAGTGTTGTACCCTATATGAACTACCCCACTACAGCCTAGATAGACTATAGCATATAAGTTGACACACCCCCATAGGCAAAGTGGGGGAGAACAGGAGTCACAAGAGCCAGTCAAGAAAAGCAAAGCAAGCTCAGGGTGGATCACAAAGTCACCACGCAGTCTGAGCACAAACAAATGGCCACAAGGCAGTTCACATGCAGAGTTATATATAGGAGAAACAAACAATACAGTGACCACAACCTAGCAAGTGTAAGCATGCAAGTATATGTGTATAGAGTACAGTACAAGCAAAGTCAAGAAGTAAGCAAGTGAGGCACAGTAGGCACAAGGCCTAGAACAGTACAGAAGCGCTGATGATCACTAAAGGTCTGAAGTGCCCTTTGGTGAAAAACATCAGCAAGTGTTGGCCTGAGAGGCCACGTAAGCAAGACGAAGCTGACCACGCTGCTGCAACTCTCGAGCAAGGAAGTAGCGCAGACCAATGTGCTTCGTTCTTTGCTCCAGTCTGTGCTCCTGACACAAGGCAAGCATGGCCTTGTTGTCGACGTACAGAACTGGAGGGGAACGAGGCGCCTCTCCCAAGTCGGTCAGCAGGTAGGTAAGCCAGCGTAACTCCTTTGCAGCCATGGCCCCAGCGAAGATCTCAGCCTCACAACTGGAGCTGAGAACAGAAGAAGAGCGGGTAGACCGCCAAGAGACAGAACCGGAGCCAAGACTGAAGGTGTAACCCTGTGGCGACCGCTGCGTAGCCAAGTCGTCC